TAGTAATGTTTTTTAACTTTTGACTCTAGAGCGCCCCCTATAATATTAAAATAGTTATATCCGCGGTCGCAGCTGATGTCAAAGGTTCGGCGAATGCACATTCCGGAGAACGGGCGCGTGACGGTAGCGTGAGCGTTCTCGATGGCGACCGGGAAGAGTCGCTGGAGTTCCCGCTGTCACGGTAAGGCCGCAGCGGCGCTTCGCTGCGAGGGCCTTCAACGCTGCTTGCAGCTTTAATTCTTGATGACGCTCTCTCCATTTCACCACATATTCAGTATCTTGTTAAAAGAGTCAGGTTCAAACCAGGTTTTTACTTCAGAATCAGATCCTGCCTTTCTTTCAAAGCATGGAAATACTTTGTTGTTCAACATTTATGTTGGTTCTAGATTATGATGATGTTTTATACATTAATGCATCTTCTCAGTGTTTACGGTCACTGGACTCAGTTTACTGTGGAGCTCTACATTTTATTATTGATCTTATAACTTTGACACATCACTGTATGTTGTATGGCCAGGTGGGATGGTCCTCCTTGTCCATGCATCAATTGAATCGTTGGTACTTATATTGTCAATATGAATTGTAAATTGAATGGGGGTTACTCGCGTCGCTCCCAGGACTGTGAGAATCTGTGTTTCATATTACGGTAGTGTTTGTGGTACTACTTTAAATGTTGTTATTCTTGTGTATATGTTTTGAAATCTTTGTGTTTTCTTGTCATTTGTTCAGCCTTCATGGTGTAGTTTTCCCTCATGTCCTGTATTTTCCGGACTTTAAGTCACACTTTTGTTTATAGCTTGGCCAGTCCTGCGATGCATAGTCCGAAGCAACTTGTAATTTGTTTTTTTCCCCTATTCATGACGCAATTTTTGACAGACACATTAAATGTTCATTCATACTGACATGAACCGAAGAGTAAACATTACCTTTTGCAGCCATGAGGGAGTCCTGTACCACTAACCCCCCTGCACCCCCGAGTTGTTCAGAAGCGACTTCATGAATGGCAACGTGCTTTTGTTGGACTTGCTGGCTTCTTAAGCCGGTTCAGGATCCCAGGTACCGTATTTTTTGCCCTATAAGTCACGGTATTTTTGCATAATTTGCATGCCCTGCGACTTATACGCTGAAGTGACATATTTATGGATTTTTTCCCCATATTTATAAACCAATTTTTGGCTGAGAAATGACTGTTTTCATTCATTCTTTTCATCTTTAAATCACTTCTTGGTCTGTTGCCTTCATACATTTCCTCCTACATGTGCGCGTTCCTACTTCTGCGTATCGGCTTTTGAAATGCAGCTGATTTGATGGTCAAAGTGCATTTATTAAGCAAAAGTTAGACTGAGACATACCTTAAGTATAATTTTGAGCAAACAAATAATTGTTTTTATGTGTTAATCTTGGTGAATTCTTAAAGTCCTCCCATGCACGCTCCCGCGACCGCCGTTTGGCAGCCCATCAATTTTTGTCACAACACCAGCCCACATTTCCGGGTTGTCAATGGTGACGCTTAACAAGCGTGATGCGTCAGCGGTGACTAGGGCTTTAACAGACTACTAAAGTAATTGACACATCGATTCCTAGGACATCTCTCGAGTTTTTAAGTTTCATGTCGAGGATTCGTAGTGACGTCATTACGTCGCCGTTAGATCATTGCGTCACGTGATCCATACCGGGCGCAGGTTACAAAATGGATTCCTCCCAGCAGACAGATGGAGCGGAGCAGGCCCAGTCTAGGCAAACGGGTAGAAATAAATCAATAGTCTGGAAATATTTCACTAAAGATGAATCTTCCGGTTCAACTACCGTAAGGAAACAGAAAATAAATCAACTTCCTGACTGTTTGGAGCTCATTGCGAACCGGTGTTATACCATATTCTGTGGACACCGTATATTGTGACCGTAAGGGGGCGGTGTTGCATGCACTGTTGCAGGTCACAGAATATGGTGTAACACCAGGTCCAATGACCGAACCAGAACCAGCTTCCTCTGACCTTGATTCACAAACAAAAAGCAAAAATATTCATCTCTAAACATATAAAAAACCTATAAACATATTAATCTGTAAAACTAAACCTAATCCGCACCACTGCGGGTGGTGGTGCGGGGTGGTCGTCCGCCCCACTGTTTTTAATTTAGTTTTTTATGTGCCGCATATTTCTTTCACTTTTGCAGCTTAATAATAATAATAACTAATAGGTTTGGTTTTCCTGTGACTTATTTGCAGTATGATAAATGGTAGGAGCAAAATATATGCTCCCAATGTTTTGTTGATCTTTTTTTTGTAAATAATGATGTTTTTTTTGCAGTTTTATTATTTTTTTTATTTTTGCATCTTGAGATCCTATGACGTCATCAACTACTCGAGTTCTACTCGAGTTTTATTATGTTAATGTCAAGTTTAAAAATTATGTAGTCGTTCAACCCGTTAGCGGTGATGCATAACAGATGTGACTTATACGGCAAAGCAGCATATTTATGGATTGTTCCACTTATTAGACAAATATGGACTGACGCAACTTATAAGAAGGTGTGACGTTTACAGCGGAAAATATGATACATTTGTGTATTATTGTTATTTCAGATTAAATGTCTTTTCTTGCACTTTGTGAAATATACTTTTAAATAAATGTGATGAAGCATTTTTTGATGGATGCGACCTACACTCCGGAGCGACGTATAATCCAGAAAATAAGGTAGTCAGCCTGTTCCCTATTGTCTCTCAGGTGTCCGTCATTGTGTCTTGTTAGTGTCCCTTTACTTAAAGGGACACACCCATGTAATGTGACCATTGTTAAGGAACATGCCCCTGATTGTAACTCAACACACATTTTAAAGAAAACTCACCTTCCACTGTGACATTATCCACAGACAGCTGCAGATTCTTGCCTCTTCGCACCACCTTTACCATGTGCCACTCGTTGTCATTCAGCTTCTGCCCCGCAAACAGCATCTCAGGTCCTTTGCCTACGTTGGAGAAAATTTGAATCAAAAACAGCTGGTGGAAAAGAAGCATGCACTTACTTATACACTCCACTGCAACACACTGTTCTCGCATAGTGGGTAGCGTACAGGAAACCCGCATGTTTTCAACACGTTTTCATACCATTTATGCTTTTGACTGAAAGGAATCAAAGACCCAATCTGACAATTGATAAAGTAAAACATTTCCTCTAAATCTTACGAAGACGTCAGAACCCATTTGGAAAGCAAATCAGGAAAAAGATGACCATAGAAATGACGAGTTATATTAAAGTAATTTTCTTTCACAAAGCTTTTCAACGTCAGTTCACCAAGAACTCTTAAAGTGCACCATAAGTGGAGGAGTTGATAGGCAAGACCAGATGGTTTAACTGCTCATCCCTCAAACCACTCTCCTGCCTAATTCCCTCTTTCCACTTCTGTACTCCCAATACTCTCCTTCTCCTCCTTTGCGCTCCTCTCATGTCGACAATACCACTGAAACAAATCCATGCAGCGGCAGATGGTGGTGCAGAGATTCTTATTAGCGAAATATTTACACTAGTAGGGAACAGGTTATTTATATCCTGCTAACTGCAGAGATTGGTTGCATCAGTATTACAACAAACTGTGAGCATGGGAGAGTGACAGTGCCAGACACATTAGATTAGGCAGAAACAGCCATCATGAGATCTTTATTTAAAACAAAATAATAAACTATCATGATTTTTGGTAAAGGTAAAGGCTGAAACTAGTACTTTTTTTTCTTTTTATTCAGCAATTTGGTTGGCTGCTATGTTGTATTTTAAGTGCTTTAGAAATAAAATGGTATGGTAGTATGGTATAATATGGTATGGTATGGTAAAGAGTTGCTCTGTAGTTTAATTATTTAAAATAGATCAAATGTAGGCAAAGATTGATTATGACACTGACATAAGGAGAAAACAGTACTTAAAACGGTTTTAAAAGATGTCATGAAGACAATTTTAGACGGCATGTACAATGTCAAAGAAGTAAGATAACAAAGATAATTAATGAAAGAAAATATTATTTGTAAGAATTGAAATGCTAAGGAGAACTATCCACCTCATTGGTTCTGGTGCAAAGTAGACAAACTTAAAAGTTTAGTATTTTTGGAAAGAATGCATATTGTTTACTGCCTTTAATTCCAATTTTTTAGATGGGGAAAATATATAATGATATCAGTTTTGATCAAACCTTGAAAATTGCATGCACAATCTAATGCAATATTGCAAGATCACATGAGCTGTCTTAGCACACATTATTTGCAAACAGACAAATAATGAAATAATGAATAATCAAACAGAGTTGACTTGAACAGGTCAAAGTAATAGGCAAGACATTTATCTAACATGTAGTGCTGGAAGTACACATAGGGAATGACTGTCAACTACTACCACAACAAATCTGTGCTCAGTATTTGTAAAACATTACAGTTTCAGTAGCTCCTAACTAATTCATGGTTCTACAGTCGCGGACTGGCTCTTTTGCGGTTTTTCAAAGTAAGATTGGACATGACACACAATTGACTGATTGATGGATGAGCCACATGATTGACATGGATTTTTTTTATTTAAAATTAATTATTTTAAATTATTTAGCACCTGCTGAACCTGTGCACCTGCAGAGAGAAGCGCCCTCCTGCAGCATGTCTTGATCTCCCGCTCTGCAGTAGAGAAGTGGGCGTGGCCAAGAGTACTGGCAGGTGGCTGAAAGCAGCCGGTGGCAGAGAGAGTGGAGATCATGACATGCTGTGCTCTTTTATAGCATTAAGAGTTTAGAAATGGTATTATTAATATTGCAAGCATGTGGGAAAGGTTTAAAATGTCTTTATATATATATATGTGTGTGTATGTATATATACTACAATAAACTACTACTTGCACTAGTATTCCAATTTTGCTATTTTTCACTCGGTCTTGGAGGTCTGAGAATGGGAACCCCATGATAAATGAGGGACTACTGTATAGCCATTATTGTGTTTCGTAATCAGTTGGCTGTGGAGGCCATACTTTATTAGCCTTCCTTTTTTTTATGTTTCTACCTGGATTATTGAGCATGCATCAGGACATACTTTACTGGGTTGATTGAAAATATTAATCAGTTGTAGATCTATATTTATAGTTCAGCTCATGAAAAATGGTAGGAAAAACAAAGTGTGGTGTTTATATTTTGTTCAGTGTATTTGACTTTTGAAATTATGATTAAAATCCAGTCGTTAGTTCATGGAATATGGTGTGCACTGTCTGACCTACAGTAGTTGACTCCAATAGTTCAAGTTTTAAGCAAAGATCTCATGCGATCAGTTAGCACTTGGAGTATTAGCTTGGGATCCCTTGCAGCGACTATCATTCCAGATTTTTGCTCAAAATCTGTAAAACTGATTGAGTCATAGCCATGTTTGTGATTGTCTTAGCTATGGTAACCATCTTGAATTGTATTGTAACCAAAAGTTAATCAATTTTTACATGTACATCTAATGATTTTCTGAATGTTTCATTAAAATCCATCTATCTGATCATGAGATTTTTTTATAACAGAAATAAGCACGTACACAAAAACTCGGGCAAAAACATAATCTCCTGTCTATCACCTTTGGGCAAGCAGTGATAAATAGTTTTGCGCTAGAAAACGCCCATCACTTTCATTTGGCCTTAAGCTGTACATGCACACTGACAGGAGGTGACTTGGCCCTATGTGGCCACTAAATAAATACATTGCCTCATAAGATACTGGCAGTCTTACTGCTAATGATTTGTTGTTATGGGTGGAGTATTTGTAACAACGATTCAATTTCAGTGCCAGTTTCTTATTTCTGGCAGATTAGCTGTCCAACGCCATGAGAGAATCACAGCAGTTGCTTGAGTGGATGAAATAGTACAGTCTGGCAATATATGACTGTCCCCTTTACAGTTTGGTCCGAAACTATTCAGTATAGGAGAAAGAAATGTCCTAACAACTGATAGCCCCACCAAGCAAGATTACATTTGGCCCACTGGAGAATTCTTTTCCCATTTAGTCCTGTTATTTTTTTTTAGTATAAAGTTTTTTTTGTTTGTTTGTTTTTCATGGATTTTTTTTGTCTTCAACAACATGAAATTGGATAGAAATAGTTTTGACAAGTGAGGTAAATATTTAGGAGAACACAGTTATGTTGCTACAAAGAGAGCTAACTTTGGTTAAAGTCACAAGTAGAAGGTAGTTACCAACAAAGAAAGGAGACAAAAAGTGGCAATGGGAAGGGGTAACACTAAACTGGTAAGAATAATAAAGTGGTGCAACAAACCTTGTTGGCTACTGTAAAATTATAAAACTTGGACCAACTCGGTAAAAGAATGGAAAAAGTAAAGTAATGGCTCCGTATTTGTACAGACCTTGTGTTATATATATTTTGCAAGGCTGCAGGTGGCCTCAGGAGAGAAAGCAACCCTACTGCCCACATAGACTGAGACATTTGGCCCTAACTAACAATGAGAGATAGCACAAATAGATGTGGATGTAAAACCTACTGCCAGACTCAACGGTAAACCTATTTACTGGAAGTCTTATAAGCCACCCCCACACATGCTATATTAAATTAATACCCAGTGAGTAACGTTTGCTTTTTAAATACCTCTACAATTAAGAAACATCAACTTATCAATACATACTATACATTTCTCCATCCTTCCATCCACTGATTGTCTTAGCAACACTACTCAGCTCCTTCTCAGGGATATTAAGGTGTTGTTCCCAGTGCCTGGTTGCCACATAGGAACTCAACACTGTACTCAAAAAGCGTTCAATACAAAAACAACTGGACTTTATTTGTAACAGAAGACGTTCCGCTCCTCATCCGAGGAGCTTTCTCAATTGGAGTAAGGAAAAGGAACAGAAACACATTCAAGAAGCTCTTCAAATATGTGGATATCCTAACTGGGCTTTTGTCAAGTCAGCGAGGAAATCTACAAAACACCCTAATAAACAGAAAAAGGGGGAACAACAGACGGAAAAACATAGTCATCCCTTATGTTGCTGAAGTATCAGAGAAATTCAGAAGGATCTTCAACAAACACAACATCCCAGTACATTTCAAACCCAGCAGGACTCTCAGACAGAGGCTGGTCCACCCTAAAGACAAAACACCCATACACAAACAGAGTGGTGTAGTATATGCGGTCCAGAGAAGCGAGGACTGTCCAGACCTCTACATTGGATAAACTAAACAGCCTCTTCACAGACACATGGCTCAACACAGGAGAGCCAGCTCCACAGGACAAGACTCAGCTGTTCACCTCCACTTCACAGATAAGGGACACTCTTTTGAGGACCAAAATGTGCACATTTTGGACTGAGAACACAGATGGTTTGAGAGGGGGGTGAAGGAAGCAATTTATGTCAAAAGAGAAAAGCTGTCTCTTAACAGAGGAGGAGGCCAGATATTTCCACTTACAAAAACCTATAATGCAACTTTAAAACAGATTTCCAGCCGGTTTTCACACCTGATGGGAACAGAGGGGCCTCGTCTGTGAATTAGAGGAACAACATACTCTTACTGTTAATGTTGTTTAGGCGTGAATTGCCAATCTACATATGTGTGTGTGTGTCTTATCTCACTCAGCCTTATAACCTGAATCTCTCACTCTCTGCTCTTTGAATTGAGAAAGCTCCTCGGATGAGGAGCGGAACGTCTTCTGTTACAAATAAAGTCCAGTTGTTTTTGTATTGAATGCTTTTTGAATTCATCATGTCCTGGATGACTGAGAATCTTCACCATCAACACTGTACTGTTGCTCTAACATTGTAGTATTTTAAGTTACCCAAACTACTGTATGTTGTAAACAAAGTTCACTTTGAGAGGGAGCTTACAAGATGAAGTGTGTGTTGTGCATGTGTACAGAAAAGGAAGGGGGTTAAAAAGAGTAATTGTGTGTATCTGGCAACCCTGCTGAGATGCATTAAGTATAGAGCAGGAGAAACAAAGCCGGTACATCCAAAATAGTGAA